CAAGCTAGTGCGACACCCAAGCTAGTGCGACACCCTACAGACGCATTATATATTCTTGTACTTATTAATTTTTTTCATAACAATGCAACCCTCATATAATATAGAAAAAGAGGGTTATATTTCTTTAGCTCTTCAGGCATTTTTACAAGGTCAATTTCAAAATTTACGAGCTGCACCGCGTGCGTACGATGTTCCTAAAGATACCTTGATTCAACGACGTCGTGGTATACTACCTCAACATGATTCACATCGTACGGCTTAAAAACTGACTCCTATTGAGGAAGAGGTCCTTCTTTAACATATCCTTGATCTCAATGACTAAGTATCTCCTCTGGGGACAGCTATCGTACGAGAAATCGCGAATATCCTCCTCGCGAACCGCGACACGTCACCCCCAGAAACAGTTGGCAAGAATTGGGTCACTAACTTTGTTAATCGACACGAATCGCTTCGTATAATATATAATTAAAAGTACGATTACCAGCGCGCGCAATGCGAGGATCCAGTGCTCATTCAAGGCTGGTTCAGCCTCGTGCAAAACCTGATCGTGAAATACGGTATACTTTAGGAGGATATCTACAAGTTTAACGAGACTGGCTTCTAAATAGGGGTTATCTCAACTTCAAAAGTAGTTACAAGAGCTGAGAGGAAGGGTCGTCCGAAGACAAAACAGCCAGGTAATCAAGAATAGGTTACTGTCATATACAGTATTAATTCACAGGGTTAGTCAATTCCAGGCCATATTATCTTCACAGCAAAGATCCACCAAGGCACTTGGTATACAGAGGGCAATCTACTGTCTAATTGGGCAATCTCTGTTAGTGAGAAAGGGTGGACGGACAATGATAGCCTTTGCAGACTCTATGCCAGAAAGATTATCTGACTTCAGAATTATGAGGTCCATTTCCCATTTGCCATCAGGTGGCCTGGGGATGTAGTATGGTATATACAATATAACGTCCAGATCATGCGTGCTCTTTTCCGCGATGACCAACATGTGTTAAGATTTATCTATTTCACCCATAGTAGTGTTAGGTAGGTCCTAAAGCAAGCCATAATTAGATTGAAAATTCTGGATAGTACTTTATATCTGTGGCTGTTGCTTGAAGCTATCCAACACGTACTTACCACTTGCCATATTGGAATACATGCGTAGCGCAAGCTTGAATACTTACCAGGAATTTTTTTGTGGTTCAGTTGAACCCGCCGCGACGAAAGACATAAAATCGCACACATCAAACCTACCGAGCCTAATCACGCAGTGTGTGATTCCCCTCCGCCGCAGCTGACAATCGCAAAACGATGCTATGAAGACAAAGATCTAAGCTCCTCCCTCAGGCCTGGAACGCAGCCGAAGCGGTTGAAAACATCCAAAAGCCCAAATCGTGAACCAGCTGGTTGGGACACAATTAACCTAACAATTCAAGAGGTCATTGATAAAGTCCGAGTTGACATCTGGAAGGACGAAGGAATATTGCCAACAGAAGAACAAGAGGAAGTCATGGATTGATTCCGAGCTATTACTCGTGAAGTACTACCAAGGAAGAGGTCGTTATCTTGCTGACGCACGCGCTCGGACACTGGCAGCAATACAGAATCTTTTCTATCCCGAACACCGAGCGACCAACAACCGCGCGAATTGAAGAGTGCACCATACAAATATCCGCGTTATAAAGACCAGCTTAAAGAGCGAGGTAGCTCTATAAGTAAACATAAAGAAGGAATGAGCGCAAATAGCAGAAAGCTCTGCGAGAAACTCCTGACTTCGCCGCAGGCACCGCCGAAAGATTCATTATTTGATGATGATCTATTTGAACTCATTCTTCCTTTATCTGAGATGCCGGTTCGACTTCAATTCCACTGTCTGTCTCAATCTTAGGGACTTCTTTAGCTTTGTCATTGTCGGTCTCAATCAAGCTCTCTTGTAAAAGAGTCGCAGTCTTGGTTATATTCTCATTAACGGCCGTGCGTACTGCATCCGCTTCTTCCAAAGCAGTTCTCATTTTGTCCATATCATCAGCCTCCAAACTCCCAATCAAAAAGCTAATTCTTTCGTTCATATTGTTCTGGTTCGTCTTAAAAGTTTCCAGTGTCAATGTTCGAGAATTTCCTACTCCAACCTCAGTTTGCAGTTTGAGAACCATCATTTCATGCATGATATGGATCTGAGCGAGGGATTGAAGAGCATCCAGAACTTGCATTCGTAAAGTCGGCCCTTCTGCCTCTTGGGAAAGTACTAGAGTTTGCACAGTACTCTCCGTATCATTCTGAAGCACTTCATCAGCACGAGCTTCACTTAGTGCAGTCATCATTTTGTCCATGTCATCAGCCTCTAAACATCCAATCAGACCTTTCATTTTCTCGTTCAAAAGTTTTTGACTCGAATTGGACGTCTTCACCGTCAATGAGGGAAAATTTCCCGATTTGACCTCGTTCTCCGATTTGAGAGTGTGAAGTTCATCGTTAATCCGTGTCTTGGCAAGGGATTGAAGAGTAAGAAGGATTTTCGTTCGTACAGTCGACTTCAGCGTGTGAGATGCATTGTTAGCAATTTGAAGGGATACTTTTGTAGCCTCTGTCTCCTCTAGAAGTGCTGCTATGTCGACGGCGTGGAGTTGTTCCGCCTCATATTGCCTAAAAGTTGTGTCTCCATTTGACGCGCAATGTTTGTTGCTCAAGATTTTAGTATATTTGGATTAAACCGTGGCTATTGCTGACAAATTGTATTCTCGAGACAGATTAGGAGGTCGCGGGTTGTAAGAATTGAGTGATGCTTGGAAAGGAGAGGCGAGACTAGCGACAAACTGTGTGCCTTTTATGATAACCTGGAGCGCTAAGTTACTTAGACTGATTTGCAGGTGTGGTCCTCCAAGCGCTGATAACTCACCATGTGTATGACCGGTCAATAACGCTAGAGCTAAACAGCTAGGTGGGGTTTGCTGCTGCGGTTTTATGGCCGACGTTCGACTAGCTGATTAGCTAGTCTCTTTTCTCTCATCGGCTTAGTGGCGGCTGCTGAAACCCCGCATGGTCAGCCCACTTCCTGCGCATTCCCCCTTCGATCTTATCTGGATACAGCCAGAACTATGACCTCGTCCTACAACGCCGTTAACAAGGCCTAGCGGGATTTCTCAATTCGTACAATCTTTGGCGAGATCTTTATCGCAGGACGCTTGCTGAGAAAAAAAACCACACTTTGCATACTTTCATCATTAACCGCAGTGTTTTCGAACGACCGATATGTCAGTTCAGCCGCCTGCTGACATATCTGATTGGGAAATTCTCCCAACAGCTGGGAAGAAATTGATGTGTGCGATCAGTGAAGAAGATAAACACGATGAAGAGGGCTCGATTTGCCTGGTTTATGAAGATATTCAAAGCATGCCCAATGAAGAGAGCACGACCCGCTCTATTAGTCAAGATCAAAAAGTCGATCTCCCTATCTGTTCGATCGTTGTCCAAAATAGTAGCAATAATATCAAGAATGAGGCACTGCTTTCCGATGAAAATCAGGCTCCAAATCACAAATCGTGCAAGGCATCGCTGTCGCCAGCAGAGAGGTCTTCCCTGGGACTTGCTCTATTATGTGCTATCAAGGATGGAAATGAGATGCACGCGATTGATATGCTTGAAAGAGGAGCAGATCCAAATGTGAGAGATGACTATGGATTTGCGCTCACACAGGCTATTCGAGGCGGACATTGGAATCTTGTGAGGAAGATGCTGGAAAAGAAAGCCAACCTAGACGTGAGAGACAACTATGGATACGCACTCACACAACTTATAAGAAAAGGCCACGAAACGTTGGGGATTGACATGGTTGAACGAGGAGCCAATCCAAACGTGGAAGATAACTATGGATGTGCGCTCACACAGGCTATTCGAGGAGGATACTTGAATCTTGTGAGGAAGATGCTGGAAAAGAACCCCAACTTAGATGTGAAAGACAACTATGGATACGCGCTCACACAACTTATAAGAAAAGGCCATGAAACGTTGGCGATTGACATGGTTGAACGAGGAGCCAATCCTAATTTGAAGGATACCTACGGAACCGTAATTCTGCAGGCCAAAAGCCGCGGCCTTACGAGACTTGAAGAGCTACTGCTCGAACGGGGAGTGGAAGCGCCTTCAATAGAACACAACTCTTCTGGGCTTAGCCAAATCACGATCAACCAAGACACACCTAACCACGTCAAAATCGATGGGGTACTCCCTCATGGTACAAATCTGCAGCTCTCAAGCGCTAATGGCACCACTCACTACATAATCTCCAGCAACGGTGGTATCATATTTCATAGTGTTTCTGCAGGAGCGCGTTCGAAACAAATCCTCGGAAATTTACCAGAATGGCTACAGAGGTCCTGAAGTGGGAGCATCAAATATTTGTCACTGGCTCGGATGATGAAGTATCTTGACCGTGCATATGTAATCCTCCACGTATTAGTCACCAAATTAAAACATGTCACTAACCTGTTCCATCTCTTTGTGTACCCGCTCCAGTCCTTCGCTCATGCATGGCTCTCTAACTAACTCTTCACTTACTTCACCTACCGCTGCCCTGGACGCTCGCGATTCACTCCTCTCACACAGAGTGCTGCTATGCTTAATTTAAGTATCCTTGTGATATATGTTCCAAAGTGACCTGGAGACGTCTGACAATGTTGGAGGAGCACTGGGCGAGAGTTGCGAAGTGCTCAGAGGAGAATGCGGCAGAAGCCTAAGTAGGGGAAGTGGCAAGCAAGAGAACATGTTAAGCGGTAGATGACAACGCGCTATGACACGCTGTTTAACCACAGCGTTCAAGTTCAGAATCAGGCAAGGAAGGAACGATAGCTTGGCTTTTATCGCAGGCTTGAGGGCTTGAGTATGTGAAAGGAAGTCTTCCTGATGCTAAAGGTCACCACCATGACTGACTGAATACCGCACGCTCAACTGGCGAAACTTGGTATTAGTTACCTCATGAAGGACGAGTACCTGCTCTGATCCTTCCTTATTAGATAATTATTCATGAAAGTTTCTGTGCGCAGCCTTCACTCTTTCAGCGGTTGACCCACCACCATCGAGCGGCGAAAGTGAATGTAATCAGAGTCAGAAGACAATTAAGGCCGTGGACCCTCAGGAGTGTATGTGCACATTATTTTGGCTTCCTCTCTTCTACATCTAACTCCATACCTCTTCCACATATCCAAACACAGACACACACAAACACACACACACACACACA